AATCCATGAATCCATGAGTCCATGAATCCATGAGTCCATGAGTCCATGAGTCCATGAATCCATGAGTCCATGACTCCATGAATCCATGAATCCATGAGTCCATGAGTCCATGAATCCATGAATACATGAATCCATGAGTCAATGAATCCATGAATACATGAATCCATGAGTCCATGAGTCCATGAATCCATGAATAAATGAATCCATGAGTCAATGAATCCATGAATACATGAATCCATGAGTCCATGAGTCCATGAATCCATGAATAAATGAATCCATGAGTCCATAAGCCCATGAATCCATGAGTCCATGAGTACATGAGTCCATGAGTCCATGAGTCCATGAATCCATGAGTCCATGAATACATGAGTCCATGAGTCCATGAATCCATGAATAAATGAATCCATGAGTCCATAAGCCCATGAATCCATGAGTCCATGAGTCCATGAGTCCATGAATCCATGAATAAATGAATCCATGAGTCCATGAATCCATGAATAAATGAATCCATGAGTGCATGAGTCCATGAATACATGAATAAATGAATCCATGAGTCCATGAGTCCATGAATCCATGAATAAATGAATCCATGAGTCCGTGAGTCCATGAATACATGAGTCCATGAGTCCATAAGCCCATGAATCCATGAGTCCATGAGTCCATGAGTCCATGAATCCATGAGTCCATGAATACATGAGTCCATGAGTCCATGAGTCCATGAATCCATGAGTCCATGAGTCCATGAGTCCATGAATCCATGAGTCCATGAGTCCATGAGTCCATGAATCCATGAATCCATGAGCCCATGAGTACATGAGTCCATGAATACATGAGTCCATGAGTCCATGAGTCCATGAATAAATGAATCCATGAGTCCATGAGTACATGAATACATGAATAAATGAATCCATGAGTCCATGAGTCCATGAATCCATGAGTCCATGAGTCCATGAGTACATGAGTCCATGAATACATGAGTCCATGAGTCCATGAGTCCATGAATAAATGAATCCATGAGTCCATGAGTCCATGAATACATGAGTCCATGAGTCCATGAGTCCATGAATCCATGAGTCCATAAGCCCATGAAT